CATATATGATACATACGCATAGAGGCTCAGGGATTACAGCCCATATATGCAAGGAAGAGACATCCAGATATATACAAATATAACACTTACAATTGATAATAAACTACCCGCGCTCAGCGAGGAAAAGGTCTTAGCCTATATATTCAGGGGTCACATAGGCACACATTGAAGGTTTGCATAACACAAGGACGTGTCAGCGTATAAGAGGTGAGGCGATGGATGATAGCAGACAGTGCTAAATGAAAATGCATCACCAAGCGTGTGCGCATGTGTGAGAGTTTGCATACACACTGATGCATCGAGAGACGTACAAAACGTACGTAAGAAAGACTGCCAGAGACATATGCACATGGCGACGAATATACGTAATAACCGGTATACGCTTTCAATTGGAGCCTCACACATAAAACCTATACACATTGTCCGCTACACGCCCCCCATCCGAGGAGTGAATGCCAAACTATATGCCAAGTGAAACAGAAGATCGAACGCACACCACGCCGCAATTTCTATCACAGAATACATATATAAATTATATGCTTATATACACATGCGTGCATAGGCACTTTACGTGCATGCTTCTCAATGTATAATAACTATCTGTGAAATATACTCACGGTCATGACCTCTGCCAATTCGTGACCAGGATGAAGGGGATACCATCACCAGGGCGGTAAAGCGCATACCCCACGATACTTCTAATCCCACACAGCCAGAAAACAGATAACCTTTACACACACATACACATATAAGACATAAGTACAATACATACATACCTAAACAAGACTAGTACATACATGCTTACACACATCCACATACAGGCATGTACTTTACACGCGTCACTCACCGTCTCGACCCCCGCCACCCGTGACCAGGATCGACGGGGTGCCCTCACTCGGCCCATACAGCAGGTTGAGCACTCTGCGCGTCAGGCACAGACAGGTGGCATTCCACTGATGCACCAGAGAGATGCGATGCCGCCAGCGACTGCACATCTTGCGCAGATTGGCCCACATGGTGGGGTTGGGGAAACAGCACCCGCACGCATGCAGCCACAACTCAATCAGTGCCCTGTGCGTGGAGGGATGGGTGTGCGGGCGATAGATGTAGAGTTGGGCCAGATCAGTATATTCGCCGCGTGGGTATGGATGGATTCGAACGAGTATCACTCTTGCTAGTAGACGTTGAGTGGTGTACATGCTGCACGATTTTGGCCCACATGGTATACAAGATGTATACAATATCCCTCAGCGAGCGAATGTATGGGAGGGTTAAGGATGCCGCACCCGCACGCATGCAGCCACAGCTCTATCAATGCTTGAGTAACACGTTCATTGGGCTTGTGGAGGGTGACTAACATCAGGCTCAAATACACTTAGTACCGCACATCGTACCTCAGCAACGGCTTCACAAGTCCATCGGCCAGGTCGCCCGGTCGCTCGGGCGGCGACAGCAGGCCATGGCCCACCCCTAGTAGACATTTAAGGAGGACTTCCCACAGATCAAAGGTGAAGTGTTCACTACTCTGCCGCCCATTGCGTTGCATGATCATCACAATGCGTAGGCACAGATCGACTTGTTTCTTGGTCATATCCGCACGAGGCTCGAATACGAGCGTGAAGTGCTTGTAGACTTTCTGTGGTGGCGATGCCATAGGTGTGTTGTATATTGTGTGAGCGGGGCACGTTGCTGGTGGTACTTGTTGTTTGATGTGGTGGAGGATATTTTCGTTTAGTGTCTTATGTGTGCATGAGAGTATAGTTGATTGTATTGATATATATTTCTTGCAATACATATACTTAGATGTACCTATCAAAAATGAAAGAATGCGGGTGCGTATCCGTCGACATTGACAATATATAATCCACGTATGGGAAAGATCATAAACACACAAACATGCGAACATACACTTGCAAATGGTGGAGTTCTAAAGTGTTTATATAAAAATTAACAAAATTCATAACTATATTATATGAAAGCTATGCATGTAAACAGCTGTGTGCAAACATATACAAATATAGGTATCAATACATCAGATTGATTCAAAATACGATATCTATATTGTCTCAGATGTTCCATTCCAAGTGCATATATATATATATCCATAGATCAGACAACGTGTGAGATTATGATGGACTTCCGAGCGCAGAGTTGAACGTGCAAAACTGAATTGAAACTCTTCTGTTGCAGACGGCACTTAGCCACACAAAGCGCATGCTACGCGAAACTCATAAACATATTAACATACACACACATAAGACTAAACCCGGTGCAAACAGTAGTATACCCGACTCAGATACACCCATACTACCGATTGACCCTCCATCTGTACACACCGTGAAGAAGTAGACCGGGTTATCAAGTACAGGCTTGGGTGTATGAAGCCGAGAGGTGGCATTTCCCGTTAGGACACCATCCAGCCAAACGCGGTAGATACTGATGGCTTGGTCCATCAGATCGTACTCCTCCATGGGTTGTCGGAACGTCTGCCCTAAGACCTCCATCATCCAGTCTACATGACTGACACTGCATAAACGTGTGCAGCAATGTATGTGCGAGTGTGAAAGGGCGTGTCCGAGAGTAGCATCTGATTCCGTATATCTGAACTTGAGTAAAAAGGCGCGAATGTGCGTAGAAATATAGACATGTTTTC